TATGTTAAGTGATTGGTAAGGTGGCTTGCAAAGGCCATGAGTTCAGCTTCCATGTTGGGTGGCTCACAACTGCCTGTAACTCCAGCTCCAGGGGGAGCCGGATCGATGCCTTTGGCATCTATGGACATCTTCACGTACATGCACATACCCTCACTTAGTCACACATCTTGAGATTCTTCACGTGAATGGAGGGCCCTAAGTGAGGGAGCTCCTCAGACTACAGTGGGGGAGTACCCAACTACATCTCCCCTACCTGGTTTGGATGTCAATCAAAACCCAAGTCTTCAGAGGGCTCCCTGATTGTCAAAGTTCACTGTCCACAATAAACACCTGGGAGGTTAAAAAATCTACCCAAGACTCGCTCTCCAGTGTTTTGTTTCTGCTGCCCAGAGTGGCACTCCACAGAAAAGAGAGACACCTATAAGCACCAATTCTGACTGGGTGTTAGACACCATTGTTGTATTTATTTGAGCCTTGAGTGAGGATAATGAATGGAGCTTATTGACAACTATTGGTAGAATCTGGCATAGTAATTTTATGAGCTGTGAAAAAGGTTAAGCAGCCACCATGAGACTGGAGATGGGCAATTCTACCCTAAAATCTGTAATATCGATGCTATTCCTACTTTTGTCAACTTCTTCTCTATCCTGTCCAAATTCACAACTCTTTAGAGATTCCATCTCCCCAGCCCCCCTCTTTCCTTCTGGTCCCTGCCTCCCATGACTCCCGTGGGAATCAACTGTTACAAGGAGTATAAAGAATGACGGGGCAGATACTGAGGCGATGTCTGTCCCTCTGGACCCTTCAGAAGTCAGCGCTGAAGGTTTTGCTTCCTTCTTTAAGGATTGAGTGCAGACCACAGCTCTAGAGTTTGTGGACTGACAATGCATCCCATATGCCCCACTGCCTTTGCCCTGTGCAAATGCAATCTCCAGAGTGGAGTGACGATTGGTTCTCAGAGCAGGGCGCCCCCTGGGATGAGTGGACCAGCCATGGTGCTGTCAGGGACTTCCGTTTTGTCTCTGCTGTCCCCCCTCTACCCCCAATTGGGCAGATGATCTGCTTCTATTCTTAGCACCAATGCAGAAATCAAATGACTTAAACTCAAACTCAGTACAAATCCGGCTGCATTTTGAAGTTTCTGGAGATTGCTAATGGCAGTGCCATTGGGCTTGACATGGCCAACCCAAGTGCATCAGATGGCCATCCTCTGATCCAAAGCCTGCTCCTGGGAGGGCAGACATCTCTCCGGGGAGACATTCAGCCTGGAGGGGAGAACTCTGTTTCCTGTCTTTGTATACTAGCCGCTGCACCTCAGCCTAGCCCTTCACCAGAAGCTTCTTGTGGAATTGCGGAATAGGCTTTTCACTGCATGAAGAGGAACCCGAGGGTCAAAGAGGTCAAGTCAATTCACCCTATGCAACTTTGGAACCCCAAATCCTGGAACCACCTCAAACACATTGATCCTGGGGAAAACATATTCAGAGGCCAGCTTCAGCATCTCAGGGCGCTGGCTAGATATCTTTGGTACGGAAACTCCATAGAGACTAAATCCCTCGGTGTTTTCCTAACACCCATGAAGGACAGTGTGTCTGTACATGGTGTGTGTCCTAACAGTTTGCTGACTAGGTATGTTGGTCTTTTCATAAATTTCATATGAGCTGGCGTCACCTGGGAAGAGGGAACCTTGACTGAGAAAACACTTCCATCAGTCTGGCCAGTGGGCAAGTCTGTGAGGGCATTCTCTTGATTCATGATCGACACAGGAAGGCCTCGCCCACTGTGTGTGGTACCACCCCTAGGCAGGTGGGCCTAAGCTGTATGAGAAAGTCTAGCATGAATGGGAATGAAGCAGTAAGCAACATTCCTCCTTGGTCTCTGCTTAAGGAAGCCAAGAGGAATGATGTACACTGGTCAGGTTCACTCTGAATGAAGAAGGGCTTATGAGTAATTTCAGTTCCTGGGCCCCCAAAGGACAGAACCACTCATCTTCACACCCCAACCTCCTAGGCAGTGAGGGCAGTGTTTTTAAGTCCAACCCTGTGTTACTGCAGCCCACACACAGGGCCCTGCAGGGTATTTGAAAACGCCAGGGTCACTGCCCTGTTGGAACTCCTTGCTCCGTGGCATTTGCCCCGCACTTGTCACACTTCGTTCCTTTCTATGATACCACACTTGGGACACTGTGCTTCAGCTGTTGCTCTGATAAAAAGTACAGATGATAATCCCTGTGAAACAGGACCCAAGTAGTGACACTGTCTAACCTGATTCTAAGGGTTGAGCTATGCCAGCCAGCAGCTCAAACATCTCTCCAGCAAGTAACCTCGGCTGCTTAAATGAGATGAAGACCTCTATTTTTCACCTCTAATTTCAGCTATTTTTTCCCAAATGGCCATTGGGTTGTTAGGACAAAATGTTTAAGTCCTATCTGCTTTCCAAGTGTCACTGTGAAGTATCTATGTGACCATGGGGTGACTGTCACTATGAATCAGGACTTTTTGGGAACTCTCTTTACCCCTACGCCCCTAAGTTGCCTCTACAGTACTATCAGGGGTCATCTTGGGAGACTGGATTGTGACTGAAGCAGGGACAAGACCCAGGGTTCATAGCTGTGCTCAGTCCCTGTCACCTGGGAATTGACCTGCAGGACAATGTCCGCCACAGTCTCTGTTTTGCAGCTTTATTTGGAAAGAAAGGTCTCACAATCTTATCCCTCAGAGGGTAGGGACTCAGTGAGCTGGAGGAGGGGGATCTTTACAATTAGAGTTGGAGAAGAGGAAACACCATTCTGATAATGCTGGCTGGAAGAATGTTCTTTTAGTGACTCCCATGGGGAGTCACCTGCAGGGAGGTCGCTCGGCTGTATCAGTGTAATAGCACATAATTGGGGATCCCAGGGCTCCTTCAGTGAATGGATGGCAAGACCCCCTCAAAGGGGAATAAAAACAGCTCTTGACCCCAGCAAGGGTATCCTCAGCCACTCACACAGGGCCTGAGGATGACCTATGTGGTAAAACCCCAAAGTAGCAAATTAGGAGACACAGTGATGACTTCAATGAAAGAGACTCAACTTCCATGGAAACGGTGACAAAAAGATAAGAGAGGACCCTGAAGGGAACAGGGACTGTCACTTCTCCCTCTCTGGTGGCTGCTTTTCCAACAGCTCTAGCACTGATCACATGAACCTCAGATTCCTGGGAGTGTTCCACCCAAGCTCCACCATGGCTTGACTAGCTGGCCTTTCTGTGCTAAACCTATGTCTGGGTTAGTTCTCCAACTCATTCTTGGGTCAGGGAGTCTGGGTGGGGACCCTGTTGCTATGGATCCCATGCAGGTGGGGCAGGCATAGAATCTTACTATTTGTTGTGTTCCTAAAGGACCCGGCTAGCCTTGGAGAAGAGAGGTAACCACTTCTGAGCCATTGCTGTGAGAAAGGAAACCACAAAGCTCACAGAGGAGAAACAATAAGATACAAAGGAGAACCACAGTTGAAGCTTACCATCTTGTCTGTCCACTGCTCAGCTGAGAACCCGTGGCCACTAGAGAGAGCTGGACTGCTGATAATTTCATAACCAGACACCTGCCAAGGGTGGCCTGGATGGGTCAGATTCCTTTACTTAATGGAGGAGAACACCCCTGCATAGGTGGGCTGCTCCCAAGGTCATTTTAGGTAGAGGGGAAATGTGTACTTGTAGCTAGAACAGCAGGCCAATGGAAAGAGGCCACAGTTATCTTGTCTTTGCTAACTGGGGACACAGAGTAGTCGGTAGACAAGAGAGAAAACGGCATCAAGAAGGGAGGACCTCATGACACAGGCCTGTAAATCTAGCTGCTCAAGAGACTGAGGTAAAAGTCACACATTTCACCAGTCTAGGCAGCAGAGCAAGTTCAAGGTCATCTGGGTAACTTAAATGAGATCCTGCTTCAAATAAAACATTTTTACAATGTTTGTAGTTCAGCGGTCTAGTGGCTGCTTAGCATAAATAAGGTACTGAGTCTAATCCATAGTCCTAGAGAAAAAGGAAGGAAGAGGAAAGGGGATGGGGGAATGGGACCTGGCAAACCCCTTTGCCATCTCTCACCTGAAGAGGAAGCCTGCTTCCTACCACATCACCCTCACTTTGACCAAGTCTCTGAATGTACCAGACCATCCCTAAAGATTACACACTTCAATATGATCCCTCATGATTTTGTTCCAGCCAGACAGGTGTTTTAAGCCCTTTTTGAGACAAGAGTTTTCATGGCAAGGCGCATACAGCTGCAGGAAGCTAGGCAACGTGCATTTCACACAACCCAGAATGCCTAGAGGGAGGGACGCTTGTCACAGCCCGTGATAGAGACTGATGTGTGTGCTGTCATCTGCGAAGAACAGTCAAGGCCTGATTAGTCCTGTCGCCAGCTGTGATGACAGGCCTATGTAAGAATTATGGTTCCCTGTGAGGCTCTAGCAGACCGCCACTGTGCTGGAAAAGAAGCTTTGCTGGTCCAGGCAGGTCTGATTTGGCTCATGACAGGGAGGGAAATACCATGGCCATTGTCACACATTCAAGGCATCAGGAAAAGGCATTCACAGTGGTCTTTGCTAGAACATAATCCAAGAATGACATCCTACTAGGGGAATTCTGTGTGCCTGTGAGAAAACTGCAGGAAAACAAGACTAGAGTCTTGCGACCTCAGTTTCTCCAAAGACAGGAACTGTGCTTAGAATGTGTTTTTTGTGCTCCTCCCAGGTGTAACAGACAGGAGTGAGCTCACTTTAGATTGTTCATTACAATTGGCTGTTGCTATTTGCTTGCCTCTGTGGAAAAATATCTTTTTCACGTGCAGCTATCCTCATGATTTCATGCAGCTTGAACTATGAAACTTTCCTCATGTGACCTTTCTTAACCCTCAGAGTAAAACTGTCCGATGCTCTGAATAAAGTCAGCTACCATGAGACCACCTCATTTTCGGGCTCCTCTACAGCGGTAAACCATCTTCATGTCACATAACCGACTTACCCACTTCATCTCTGATGTTTGCAAGTTCGATTGACAGCTCTTTTTCTTTCGCAAGGGCACTTTCACTCTGAAAAAAACAAAATGGATACTGAGAGTCCCCTCATGTGACATTCAGTATAGTCATGTGTGGAACAAATTAGTCATATTAAACAAGTAGGGCTATCCCTGAAGGTAAGAAACATTCTTCTTATATAAAAACCAATAGAACCAAGTCAGACTCATTTGTTTGCAGTATTAATATAAAACAACATCCACAGCCACCTTCTCAATGTATCACATGGCTACACCACCCTGGAATAATTCTAAGGACATCTCTGTTCTACACATTAATGTATTAGCATATATTATTACATTATACAAATTCTCATTTGACTTTTTTATAAGTGATTCCTGACCATGCAAAAGCTCATAGTAACTATATATATGTATACACACACACGTTTGTTTTTTAAATGAATTATTCCCTTAAGCTTATTCTTTTGCCCATAACTAGTTAGTATCTACTGAATAATGAAAATCATAGCAGATGCCATAGCATGCAACATTTTTTTCTCATAAGACCTGACAGCGGCGAGGTTTCTGTGAGTTTTGACCCAGTCTGGACATTACTATAAAGCATAGGAGGTACCACACATTTTTCTTCCTAGCCATGAGGTAGCAGCTTGTTCTACCTCAGGTTTCCAACTGGTACCATTCAGGATGCCCTCCTGAGGCCCAAAGCAATGGTTCATCTAATCAAAGATTAGGACGTCTGAAACTGAGTGCTAACTACCCCTTTCTGTTTGTAAGTTAATTATGTCAGGTATTTTATTATAGGGTTGGAAGGCTAACTATTACAATGCCCCCTAATTACTGACTACTCTTGTCTTTCGTGACTGTGCTGGCTAGTTTATTTTTGTCAACTTGACACAGACTAGGGTCACCTGGGAAGAGGGAGTCTCAACAGAGGAGTTGACTCCATCAGATGGTTGGTGGGTGTGTCTGCAGGACATTTTCTTGATTAACGATTGATGGGAAAGGGCCCAGCCCACTGTGGGTGGTGCCACTCCTGGGCATATGGTCCTGAATTGTCTAAGAAAGTCATAGGAAGCAAGCCAGTAAGCAATGTTCCTCCATGGTTCTGGCCTTAACTTTGCTCGAGAATGGACTATGACTGGAACATGTAAGCCAAATAAACCCTGTCCTCCCCAAGTTGCTTTTGGCCATGGTTTTCATCACAACAGCAGAAAGCCAACTAGGACAGTGTCTACTTGAAAATCTAGCAGAAGTAGAAAGAAAAACAGAATTTTCATTCCATTTAAGGTACCATGAGGTATAATAATGCGCATGGGTCAAGTTGGCCCACTCCCCAAATGAAGAAGGGCTTATGAGCAATTCCAGTCCATGGGCCCCCAAGGATCTACTCATCAATGATGGGCCATGATGAGGACATGTAAGCCAAATTAAACCTTTTCCTCTCCAAGCTTGCTTTTGTCAGTGTTTTATCACAGCAACAGAAAACCAAACCAGGACAGTGCCTGTCGTGAACTGGTGCTCTCTGGGACTAGAGGCAGTTCCCACAATTGTGTTTGTGAGTCAGCTGCATTTAGACCAGTGGTTCTCAAGCTGTGGGTCCAGACCCTTTGGGGGTTGAATGACCCTTTCACAGGGGTCACCTAAGACCATCAGAAAACACAGATATATACGTAATGATTCATCACAGTAGCAAGATTACAGTTATGAAGTAGCAATGAAAATAATTTCATGGTTTGGGGTTACCACAACATAAGGAACTGTATTAAAGGGTTGCAGCGTTAGGAAGGTTGAGAACCACTGATTTAGACTAAGGTAGTTTACTGTGGGCTCCTGGGAGAACCTCAGTCATGATATTCATAATGTCAGGATGAAACCCTGTTGCCATAGTAAACAGCTGGATAAGCAGCTCAGTGGTTCATTTACTACTTAGCATGAGCAAGTTCATGGCATGGGTATCAACAATGGTTGGCTAACTAGTTTGTAAGAATGTCTACCGAAAGATCTAATTGTTAAGAGCAGTGGATCCTACATGATCCGATTGTCTGGGGCTCATTCAAATATGTATGTTTAAACTCTTGATGCTGATGCCTTTAGATGAGGGCCATGGGAGGTGATCAGGTCGTGGGGGTGGAGTTTTCATGAGTGGGATTAGCACTCTTGTGAAAGAAGCACCATGTTTAGCTCACCTCTTCCACAATGCAAGCAAGAGAATCGAGAAGGAGCCATCTTGGAGTGTGTGGGCCCCTGTCAGAAACTGACCCTGCCTTGGCATTGGATTGCCCGGCTTCACAGTTCTGAGGCACAAAATTCTGTGGTTCAGGCAGCAAAGTTGGAGACATTTTGCTACAGCAGCATTAGTCAACTAAGACTGACTCCCATGCTATTTACGAAGCTCTGTTATCCCTTCAGTCCATGGCAGCTCTGCTTTCTCTGAATTCAGGCAGTAATTATATCACAGAGCGCTATCCTCCTAATTCTCATAAGATGCCACTTCAAGTGTCATGGTTGCTGCATGGGGTCATGATGGGGTTAAATGAATGAGTAGATATAAATACAACCACAATAGTGCTTCGTATGTATTAGGTGGTGTTAGAGATGCACGATTTCCTTTTACTTTATTTGTAACTAGATAACATCCATAGTAATAGGTTCTCCTCTGTGTTAATCACCTATGTTCAGAAAGGCTCTGGTTCTGTCTATTATCTATCTATTAATCTATCTATCATCTATCATCTATGTATCTATCTATCATTTATCAATCTTCGATCACCTATATCTTGTATCTATCATCTATCAACTATCTGTTCTTGTGGAATATTTTGATCACACGCTGACATTCCTTAGACTGCCAATAAAGTTAAACCTTGAATCAGAGGATGGAGTCAACATTCAGCTGGCCAGAATTAACCATAGAGTTTTTGGTGGACCCAGATTAGGATAGAGAGACACAGGGACTTAAAAAGATTGTCTGGCTTTCTTGATCTAGGAAGGTGAAGAGGTAGGGTCCATTTATTGTTTCCCCATCACTCTTTAATCTATCAGGTTTTTACTCCAATATATGACTCCCGAGTTTTATTTAATAATAGAGTAATATAAATAATCACTTCATCTGGTGCTTCAATCTCTCATCTGTCTATCATATATTACCTCATTTATCATTTATTTTCTATATATCATTTATTTATCGTCTATCTATTATCTATCCATCTGATCTACCTATTTATTTATTTTTGCAGTGCAGAGACAAAATCCTGAGTGGTACATATGCCAGGAAGAGATTCTGACATCGAGTGAAATCCCTAGACCTGTGCTCTGATTTCTTTAATATCTCTCTTGGGTCTAAATTGACTATAGAGTCTCTCTCTCTCTCTCTCTCTCTCTCTCTCTCTCTCTCTCTCTCTCTCTCTCTCTCTCTCTCTCTCTCTCTCTCTGTGTGTATGTATGTATGTCTTGGGATCAAACTCAGAGCTTCACACGTGCCAGGCCTGTGTTCTATGACTGAGCCATAGCCCCAGCTCTCTCAATTTTGACACAGTTCAAAGAATGTGGAGGTCAGAACAGGGAAAGTGTTCTTATCAAATTGACCCCAGGACTTTACACTTGTTCTAATGGTAGCCTCCAATGGATACCTGACAGTTGTCTTGTACTAATTTAGTGCTTTGGAGAAGGGTCATTTCACTATTTACATTTCAATAAACTAGTAAGAAAACTAACTTACTTCTACATCAGGAACAATTTGGAAAAGGCGCATTCTCTGCTTCACAAAGACCAGCGGAGGACTAAAATCTTAGCTTATTAGTCAAAGAATAGCATGAAAAAGGCTCCTACCAGCATTACAAAGACTCAGACAGCATCGGGAGTGAATCATCAAAGCCTAGCAAAAACAGAAGATTCACTCCAACTTCAACACCAAAGCCAGTGCTCTCCTCAGCTTCCTACTGTAGCCATCATCTGATGGGTACAGCACTGTCCCACTGTAGCCAGCAATGATGGTACAGCACTGTCCCACTGTAGCCAGTGCCTGATGGGTACAGCACTGTCCCACTGTAGCCAGTGTCTGATGGGTACAGCACTGTCCCACTGTAGCCAGTGTCTGATGGTACAGCACCATCCCTTGGTGGGATCACTACACCATAGCAAACAGCCTGAACCTTCCAGGGGAGTGGCAGGAAGGACCCAAGAAGGAAAGTGACTAAGTTCTAGAACATTCTGGGTAGAGGTTATTTGCTATTTAATAAAGGTTATAATGCTAAGTTCTATCAAATACATTCTTTAGCCATGTATAGAATAACTGTCTCTTTCCTCCACTTCTTCAAATACAGTCAACACTTGGTATCTGTAGGGCTGATCTCAAGACTCCTCCTAACCAGGATACCCAAATCCATACAGACCCAAGTCCTATACAAAAAATAGTGCCTTATGTACAGAGAACCCATTCCTATTCCCCCCGGGGCAGTGGTTCTCAACCTTCCTAATGCTATGACCCTTTAGTGCAGTTCCTCATGTTGTGGTGACCCCAACCATGCATTTTTCATTTGCTACTTCCCAACTGTAATTTTGATACTGTTATGATTTGTAATGTGAATATCTGTGTTTTCTGATGGCCTTAGGTGACCTATAAAAGGGTCATTTCACACTGCAAAGGGGTTTCGATCCATATGTTGAGAATCTACTGTCCTAGAGTTAAAACCACCTCCCTATTGCTTATAATACTGAAGATGGTATAAATACCTTGTGAATAGTCATTTCTCTTAAATACCTTGTGAATAGTCTCTTCTCTTAGGGAACAATTGTGACAAACAAAACAAAACAAAAAAAACAAATAAACCAACCCCCCCCAAACAACAACAACAAAAAACAAAATGCCTGTGTGTTTTCAGTACCAAAGCATTTTCCCTCATTATTTTAGATCCATGGTCAATTCACTGAAGCCGTGGTTACAGAAATGATAGATTCAGAGGACCACTGGTACTGTTAACAAGCCCCGAGGTTTCTTTCCCTTTATGGGAGCGGGGGTGGGGGGATGGGGGTTGGGGGGGTGGGGGGATGCGG